TACATGTATTGAGCCATGTGCCTGCTCATCTTAGCTGCTATGATGCCTGACAGGAGCTTCCATGTTGTGCAGAGGCAGGTTATTGGGTGGTAGTCCGATGGTACTGCTCCTTTCTGAGAATCCTTCAGGATCAGGACTGTCCGGCCTTCAGTTAACTACTCAGGGTGGGTTCCATCCATTAGTAGCTGGTTCATTTGTCCTGCCAGGTGCTCATGGAGTGAAGTTAGCTTCTTTAACCAGTAGGCGTGGATCATGCCGGGGCCTGGTGCTGTCCAGCTCTTCATACTTGAGACCCTCTCTTGAATGTCTGCCATTGTGATGATTACTGGGTCTTGTGCAGGGAGGTTGCTGTGGACTGCTTTTAGGTCCACCAGCCACTGGGTATTGTTGTTGTGTGATGCCTCCTTCTCCTATATGCTCTTCCAGAAAAGTCTGTTGTTGTTTGTTTGGTGTTATACCCCATAAATACCATCCATCCACTATATTGACTGGAGTGGGTGTCTAGTTTGTCACTAACAGCCTGCTCAAGTCTATTTCCAAAATGGACCTGTTTCTATAAAAACCTAATGTACACATATTATTCTTGTTGATTCTCTCTTCTGTCTACAGTATGGTTTGTAAGCTGAACACTCGAACCAGCATCCTGGCAGCTACCAACCCTAAAGGCCAGTACGATCCCAATGAGCCACTGTCAGTGAATGTAGCCCTGGCCAGCCCTTTGCTGAGTCGTTTTGATCTGGTTCTAGTTCTGCTGGACACTAGAAACACAGAGTGGGACCGTATCATCTCGTCTTTTATTCTAAAGGACAGAGGTAAAGGTTATAATTTTAAATTTGAAAATGTAATACTAAAAGCAAAACAATAAATTTCAAAAATGAATTCTGAATTATTTAAATAATTTAATGAAGGCTATTGTGATAGTTATTTGTTGTCATCATCTATTTGACTGGTATAGTGAAAATGTTTCACAGCATCATTCCAAAGAGAAATCAGTATATCTCTTGATACAGTGCCTTGCGAAAGTATTCGGCCCCCTTGAACTTTGCGACCTTTTGCCACATTTCAGGCTTCAAACATAAAGATATAAAACTGTAATTTTTTTGTGAAGAATCAACAAGTGGGACACAATCATGAAGTGGAACGAAATTTATTGGATATTTCAAACTTTTTTAACAAATAAAAAACTGAAAAATTGGGCGTGCAAAATTATTCAGCCCCCTTAAGTTAATACTTTGTAGCGCCA